CAAGCTCCATTTAAAAAAAAAAAAAGGAAATTGAGGAGTCAAACACAGCCAAGCCTCGTCTGTCGTTTGGTTACTTGATTGATATTGTGTTTTTGCTACAATCCTGCTATGAAATACAAGAAATTTACCAAAATCAATCTTAGCCCACCTTTAAATTAAACAATTAATGTTAATTTCTCTCCCGAAAATTGGTTTTTTCCAGCAACTGAAATGAGGACGATCAAAATCAGTTGTTTTTGGTTTTGGTTTAATGGTGGTAGTCAGTTTTAGTTTGATAGTGGTGGTGGTGATTTACTGTGTGCCTTGTGTGAGATGGATGGCTGTGATCAACCGATCGGCTGTGGTGCTAATATTAGGCCATGTTTGATAGGCCACATTTTTCGGGGAAGTAGGAAAATATTTTTCACTTTCCACTTTTTTGGCTGTAATTGGCTAGAGTATTATACTTAAGTAATCTCAAAATGTAGTTTATTAACATCACTATGATGAATGTAGGAACAAGCAACCTGTTATTTTGGTATTTGTCAATTTTTTTGAGTTCGTGTCATTTTTTTGAGTTTGTATCACTTTTTGAGAGTGTCACTTTTTTTAGTTTTGTCATTTTTTTTTAATTTGTGCCACTTTTTTTTTAAAAAAGTAAAAAAAAAAAGTGGCAATTTTTATAAAAAAAAAGTGACATTGTGTCACTTTTTCATTTTACATAATATTTTTTTATTCTCTAAAAACATTTCATACGATTTTTCAAAACATCCCTAATAAGATCAAGATGATTCAAGGAAGTTAATTCACCAATTTCCTTGGGAATTCCACCAGAGAAATTGTTATATCCCAAATAAATCCATCTCAAACTCTTCATGAACCCTAATTCTCCTGGAATTTCCCCAGTCAGTTGATTTGAAGCCAAAGTCAAGACCTCTAATTTTGTCATATTTGTAATGGACTTCGGAATTTTTGCCGTCAAAATGTTCCCACCAAAATCAAGAACTTTAAGGCCTGAAAAAAGTCCAATTTCTTCTGGGATTTTTCCTGAAAGCATAGTGTTGGAGAGATCCAATGTTTCAAAAAGTGGATGGGATATGCCTCCTGGAATTGGACCGGTCAAATTATTATTGCTTAGATTGAGATTCCTGAGCGATAAACACGACAACAAATTCCCTGGAATTTCCCCAACGAACTGGTTGCTGGAAAGATCAATATTTCGAATATATGGCAACTGGAAAATCTTCTCTGAAATTTTTCCAGACAAATTCTTCCCGGGAAGCTCGATCTTCGCTAAATGGGACCAATCATAACAGTAACTCCATTCCATTTGCAGAAAGAGAGAGAGGAATTCCAGCTGCTCAGAGGCTCCAACGGATCATTAATTGAAGCTTTAAAGGACAAAAGTAGCTCAACTTCAAATCCTTTGCATGCATACAGATTCAAGAACATAAAAATGAACACAAACATGATGAAAAATCTGACATGATGAAAAATCTGTATCTTTTCAGCCCTTTTTTGGCCATTTTCAACTGATCAAAAGTTTCTCTCTGCCGGTATAAATTTTTTTATCAGATGGAGCTTAAAGAAAACCCCGAAAACCGAGTAAACTTCAGCAAATGGAGAATTATCTCTTCATTTTCTGCCACAAAACATGATAAGTAATATAAGATTTTCACCATTTATCTTGGATTGTCAGAAAATCCAGAGAATAAAAGGAATAACACAGCTTTTCATGAATTAGAATAATCTTTTATTCATCGACAGAATAAAATTGGCATTTTCTATCATCATGAGGACAACAAAAGCAACAACAAGAACAAGCACTAGCAACATTAAGAAAATTAAGAATCCTAAGAAAAATCAAATTGTTGCACGAACAAAATCCCACTGTCAAATAATTAACTGTCCCAAAAATTTTGTCCATACTGCTTACCAAATATACTGAAAATTTACAGAACTTTAAAGATTTTAACATAAAACATTGTTCGACCAAAAACAGAACCAGAGAGCGTGATGATATATATCGGTCGCAACATAGACAACGTTATGGTTCGGTGACGTACCGCAAATGTTCGGATAAGCTTCTGTTGGAAAAGGCTAGAGATATTGGAAGAGAAGAAACTAATTGGGGTGATGACTAGGTTAAGAGAGTGGTGTTTGAGCGTAAGAATTCTAGGAGTCTAAGTGTGTGTCTATATAACTATACATATATATATATATACAAACACACACTAATATATATAGAGAGACGAATTTGTTGAACAACCTCTTTTGGAAGGTTAAGCTGCTAGAAAGATAATACATTTATTTATTTGAATTTAGTGTTACAAATCTTCACACGTGTTAATCTCGTGTCACGTAAAAGTTTAAACGGGTAGAAAGAGATCACGTGTATTCATCTAATTATCATTTTTTCAACGCATCCCATCAGGCGAACAACTTCATTTTTTGATCAAATATTTTTCATCTAGTACTTGAAAATATATTAACCATTACATAACATTCTAAGTCCCTTTTTGGTTAAGATAAAAATCAGATTTTTAGTAGATTTTGATAAAAATTAATGGAATGTATGATTGAAAAGTTGTGTGTTCCTTCACGTGTGATTAAAATTAATTACTGATTTTGACTTAAATTTTAATCAATTTTTTTAACTGAATCAAACATAGGTAAATCTTATTTTCGACAAAAGGATATACAAAATGTTTTCAATCTTAATCGAAAGTCTTCTGCTTTATAAGTTTTAATAAGCAATCTAACAAGATTTGAATCGAGGAATTTTGCCTACTCGAATTATGTACCTCGACTCGAGTGTTTGAATACACTAACGTTAGAAAGGCAGGGATCAACGTTGAGGAAAAAGCTCTAGCATTTTTATGATACTAATAAAATTCTCTTTTGACTGAGTTTGGAAAGCGACAGAGAAACCATGCCCCTTTGCGTTTGGACTTATTTACGACAACTATCAAAAATGGCGTGAACTTGTTTA